ATAGATTTGGTTTTGGGGAGAAATTTTGCAAAGTAATCAAAACTCTTTACAATAATGGAAGCTGTTCGATTAAATTAAAGAGTGGCACATCCCCAAGGTTTAGTTTGTCTAGAGGAGTCAGACAAGGATGCCCCATTTCCCCCTATTTATTTTTAATTTGTGTGCAGCTACTCTCAACATTCATCTGTGAAAGCGGTATTCAGGGTATCCATATAGCAGATAGAGAAGTTTTTATCAGTCAATTAGCGGATGACACCACCTTATTTTTAAGAGATGCTTCCCAAATCCCATTGGCAATTAATTGTATAAATCTATTCTCTAAAGCTTCAGGACTTAATCTAAACTTAAGTAAATGTGAGTTAATGTCTATTAAAGATTGCACAACACCCTCCTTTTATAATATTCCAGTTAAATCTGTAGTTACTTATTTAGGCATTGTGATCACTAAAGATCAAGTTAACAGATGTACCTTGAATTTTGACCCTGTTATAGTTAAAACCCAAAGAAGATTTAATCTATGGTTGCAGAGAGACTTGACCTTGAGAGGCAGAGCACTGCTTGCTAAGGCGGAGGGCATTTCCAGGTTAACATACCCTGCACTCTCTCTAAATGTGGACAACAAAATGTGTAGGTCAGTTGATAAAATTCTCTTCAATTTCATTTGAAGAACAAAATACATTATGTTAAGAAGTCAGTAATCATGAATACGTATGATAAAGGTGGCTTAAATTTTTTGGATTTCTCATCTCTGAACAACACTTTTAAAATTAACTGGCTTAGACATTTTTTATGTAATCCAAATTCAATCTGGAACTTTATCCCTAATTACTATTTTTCGAAATTAGGTGGTCTCCCTTTCTTATTGGTGTGCAATTATAATATTGCTAGAGTCCCTTACAACTTATCAAAGTTCCACAAGCAAGCATTACTTGCATGGTCTTTAATCTTTAAACCAATTTTTCCCCTCACCGTTACTTCATTTGGAACAATCAAAATATTGTATATAAGAAGAAATCTTTGTTTTTTAGTAATTGGTTTGAGAAAAATGTGTTGACTGTTTCCCAGTTACTGAATTCTGAAGGATATATTTTAAATTATGAAGAGTTTTTATGTAAATTCAATTTCCCAGTAACTCCCAAGGAATTTTCCATTGTAATGGACGCGATTCCTAAGGGAGTTGTTATGCTTCTAAAGGACTTTGTTAGATCATCTGACACTTTTCCTCAGTTAGACCCATTTGAACACCCAATAGGAAAATTATGCTTTCTGTCAAATAAATCATCACTTAATATTAGAATTAGATCACTCTTTCAAAAAGAGCTTGTAACAATTCCATATGTGGCTTCAAATTGGATGAATTTATTTGATCATATTGATTGGAAAAAAGTATGGACTCTGCCTTTGAAATATATAATAACTAACAAGATTAGAGAAATTTCATTTAAATTATTACACAAGTATTACCCTGCTAAAGCCTTTTTGAAAAGATTTAAGTCAGATCTAGACACTAAGTGTTCTTTTTGTGGCGCACCTGACGAGACTGCTCTCCATATATTCTGGGACTGTCCTCATACACAGTTATTTTGGGTTGAATTTTCTAATTTCATTAAACACAATGTGCTTCCGGGTTTTTCCTTGCTCTTTAAGGATGTGCTGTTTGGCTTCTTTAATATAGAAAAAGCTAAATTTAATGAGTATTATATTATTAATTTGTTGTTATTCCTTGCAAAATTTCACATTCACCGTAGTAAATTTACGCAGCAGAATCCCTTATTCATTGTTTTTAGTAGAGAGGTTCAGCAATACATCCAAAGTATCTCATCATCCAAGAATCTTAAAGCTCTTAAGACCATAAACTTGTTTGAACTTTTCAATTTAATTTATTAATGCATTCTGTTCTGTTTTATTTATTTTTGTTTTTATTTTTTTTGTATGTATATTATGTGGCTATATGCATATGTGCTGTATTGTTTTCATCTTTTTTCCTATGTGCAATTTGTATATTGTTGTAATTTAATTGTATTTTTGATACCTTGGCATTAATAAAAAAAAAAAAAAAAAAAAAAAAAAAAAAAAAAAAAAAAAAAAAAAAAAGTTTACATTTAGTAGTAGCTTAAATCACAATATTTATAAGAAATACATTATATTTTACCATTAAGCAGCCTTCAATGTTTGAGTTACTGCCTTTTTGCTTTGTTTGCCCTACAAAGCAAAAAGGCTATTAAACTGCAGTTTTGGTCAAACATTAATTATTAGGCTACCATTTTCATGACATTCAAAGCATCCTTTGTTATATGACAAAACATCTTATCTTAAATGCGTGTCGTTTTGGAGAAAAAATGGTAGTCCTTTGTACAGTAACTGCTAAAAGCCCTAACGAAAGTCATTTTTCTCAGTTCTGCACTCTGCGTAGTTACTGCCTTTTTGCTTTGTAGGGCAGATTTTTTAAAGCTCTGCATATCCACTTACCTGTTAATTGCAAAATGCATTTCTATGGAAATACAATAGGCTACATACATATTCATAAAATATATGTAATATTATATTTAAATATGTAAATAATACATTTGTCTCCATAATTGTCTCCATGTCTCCATAATTAGCAAGTAGAAAAAAAAAAGAATAATAAAATCTCTTTGTATTTTCATTTATTTTTGTTCCAATAAGTGACAGGGTTATGCACACACACACAAAAAAAAAATTGGTTTCAGGGTAAAAAAAAAATCATTCACTCTCTCTCTCAAAACACAAAGAAGTGTAAATATCAGTGTTATTATTTTAAAGGCATAAGTCTGTCAGAGAAACCATGAGCTGATTAATATCCTGACAGAAGCTTAACTGCCTATTATCCCAACTTCTTTAATGGTGCAACTTTAAAATATTCAGTGTTAGGCTACTATGTAAGATGTAACATACAGACTGTTGGTGTAACTGGCCTCTGGTGAGTGGCTGACAACAAAGTTTCCTAAACCATCTCTAGCAAAGGCATGAGCATGCAGGCCTTGTCATTTCACCGGTCAAGCGGCTGCCACGGAAATGAATGGGAATGCTAATGGACGGCTTTCTCCACATATTACAATTCATCGACTCAATCCTCCAGTTGTATTGCCATCTGAAAGTCCAATTGACTTCTAAAACCTTGTCATTATAGTAACACAGCTGCCAGTAATTGGTAGCAATCATTAGAGAGTGTCATGTTTATGGCAACTACAGCATTAGTTTCTCCATTACCTACAATAAATGATGACAAAAACAATGAAACCATAGCCATGTGACAGTAGAAACTTTGCTTAATTTTAAAGTGACCCTGGATGTCCTGCACAAAGGCACATGAGCTGGAGCGTTCCTGGATTATGCAGCCTAAAGCCTATATATATATATATATATATATATATATATATATCAAAACAATTTAATCTCATTAGTATTCATTTTTGCATTGTTCAATTAAACACTGAAAAGTTCCATATCCACATACCGACATAAGCTCAAACATAAACATGTTTATGCCTTTTCAATTTCAGAGGGATGCAAATGTTCTTTAAGGTTTAATGCTGATGAGAATTAAATTCATGAATAGAAAGTAAGAGTGTAAATGACTTAATCAAACCTTTTGATGTTGTGAACTGAAAACTATTAAAACATTTAAAAATCATTTAATCTAAGTGAAATAAAATAAAACATACAAATTAGATTATTTAAAATGAAATTGAAATAAATTAAAGCCAAACAGAAACATGAAACAAAATGCAGTTTACGCTGAGATTTCATCAGTGTCAGATTATTCAAGCATCTGTTTTCAAAAGTAATCAAAGACATCACAAAGAAACTGATTAGAAATCAGTGAGGTTGTTGATGAGCACAATTACATTCACTAACTGAAATCCATGCTATAAAGACCAGCAATGAAATAGCAATTATTGTTATTGTCTCATCAAATGGACCCAAGCAAAAAACAAACAAACCTTAAAGACAATCCTATTAGTCATGCAAATTTATTTGAGAATAATAATGTTTCAGTACCATTAATCGTCACTTCTGGTCTTCTGGGTAATGCTTGTTGTGAAATGAAGATGTTACAGAAAGATCAAAGCCTGGAACGGGGGACTGAAATGTCAAGTGCAATATTCATCATATACATATTTATTTGAAAGCAAGAAAGCATTTCAGATCAGCATGGGGTCTGGAACCCCACCTCAAACCGCTACTGAATGAAGTGATATTTGGCTGTGTAAACATTGTATTTCTGTAAATATAATAAAACAATCATTGTAATGGCTAACCATTTTTAAATGCAAACAGCTGCAGTCGAGCCATTATGTTCAGTGTTTGGGTATCTGTAAACATGAGGAAATACAGTACAGATACACTAACATTCAAAAGTTTGGAGTCAGTAAGATTTTTATTTTATTTTTTGTCATTTTAAAATAAATGAATGCTTTTATTCAGCAGAAATGCATTAAATTGATCAAAAGTGACATTAAAGTTGCAAAAGATTCTTTTGAACTTTAAATTCATCAAATCATACTGAAAAAATATCATAGTTTCCTAAAAGAAGGAGTCATGTGACTCGTGACTCGTTCATCAAAAGGAACTAATCTTTTTCAGAGTCATTTGGCACATTCAACGAACGAAACGAACGAATTGACTCAATCATTTTGATGAACGATTTCGAACAGGAGAGTCAAGAACGTGCGTCACAGAACAGAGCAAGGCGAGCATTTGAGCTTATAAAACTTAAACTTTGTTATTTATTTATTAAATGACCGATCGTTTCGCATGATAAGACCCTTATTCATCGTCTGGAATCGTTTAAAGCCCTTTGAACAGTTTGCACTGAAACTGTCTTTTGGAGCTTGAACCGTTTGGTTCCCAATGAAGTCCATTATATGGAGAAAAATCCTGGAATGTTTTCATCAAAAACCTTAATTTCTTCTCAACTAGAGAAAAAAAGACATGGACATCTTGGATGACATGGGGGTGAGTAAATTATGAGCAAAAGTGTTTTTTGAAAAGTGAACTACTCCTTTAATACTGTGTTGTTGAAATCTCACCTTCAGTATGAGAAAAAGAAATAGTGAAGATTGCCTTAGCAAACCATTTCACAATGAATATCATGGGAATAGTCTCCAGTTAATTAATCTTTAATATCTTGTGAGTCATTTTCAAATGTTTTGACAGATATAACCTGTTCGTGTAGATCTCAGATGATCCTTTGAGGCAAGCCCGTCCTGAATCAGCAGAACTCACTCAATTTAAACCGGACCAGAGGGAGGGATGCGGTTAGCTACATTAGAAATGAACTGGCCTGAAAAAAAAAAAAAAAAGAAGAAGAAAAACATGCATGATGTAGAAATAATGTGCAGGATCTTCAAATCACACCAATTCCATTTCACACAGTGTCTGGTAAAATATCCGTCTCCATCATGAATAAAAGATGCACACATATTGAAGTAATCAGATTCCACGCACCGGTGTGTCTTTTGTGTGGCGAGTTGTCGGAGTCTTCTGCGTGAGGTGAATCCTCAGCGCACAGTTTAACACACCATTTTGTCAAGGTAATGAGGGCATTTTACATGCAACTAACATTAGCTGCAGTCATTAAGCTATAACTGTAATTTGACCTACACTATTAGATATTCTGGAGATGTGACAACTATAATGTGTCACAGGATATTTTCTTTCGGATCCTTTGGGGCACATTCACTAAAACAACTATCTAAATAATGCCATTGTCATTCTTTTCAGAGCAAATATAGATTGTCTATGTAAATTAGGCTTATTATTTACGCTTAAGAGAGTGTTTTTTTTTGTTTTGTTTTTTGCTTAGTTGGGAACACTTAACATTCAACAATATTAATGATATGACTGTACCGATGCTGTTGTGTGAGAACTGAACTGATCTGGACGATGATATCTCTTTTATTTTATTTTTTTCGCAGAACTGCTTTATAGATGAAAGGAACTAATTTAATAATTGATGATCTTTACAACAGGACTGAATCAACACTGAACTGACTTTAGCTGAACAGCAACCAAAATGCATCATTTTCCTGTTATCACTGTAAAGCTGCTTTAAAACTATCTGCATTGTGTAACATGCTTTTTTATTATTATTACAGATTTGTCACTGCTTTGATATAACCCAGAAAAGGAAGTCAGATCATTTATATGATTGACAAGATGCTAATAAATAATGATTTTTAAAGAGCATTCGGCTCTACATATGGACATTAATAAACAACAATATCACAAACCAAATGCAGTGACTGAATCAACTACTACAGTATGTTATCATTTCAAGTGCCATATACACTCACCTAAAGGATTAGTAGGAACACCATACTAATACTGTGTTTGACCCCCTTTCGCCTTTAGAACTGCCTTAATTCTACGTGGCATTGATTCAACAAGGTGCTGAAAGCATTCTTTAGAAATGTTGGCCCATATTGATAGGATAGCATCTTGCAGTTGATGGAGATTTGTGGGATGCACATCCAGGGCACGAAGCTCCCGTTCCACCACATCCCAAAGATGCTCTATTGGGTTGAGATCTGGTGACTGTGGGGCCATTTTAGTACAGCGAACTCATTGTCATGTTCAAGAAACCACTTTGAAATGATTCGAGTTTTGTGACATGGCGCATTATCCTGCTGGAAGTAGCCATGGTGGCCATAAAGGGATGGACATGGTCAGATACAATGCTCAGGTAGGCGGTGGCATTTAAACGATGCCCAATTGGCACTAAGGGGCCTAAAGTGTGCCAAGAAAACATCCCCCACACCATTACACCACCACCACCAGCCTGCACAGTGGGAACAAGGCATGATGGATCCATGTTCTCATTCTGTTTACGCCAAATTCTGACTCTACCATCTGAAAGTCTCAACAGAAATCGAGACTCATCAGACCAGGCAACATTTTTACAGTCTTCAACTGTCCAATTTTGGTGAGCTCTTGCAAACTGTAGCCTCTTTTTCCTATTTGTAGAGGAGATGAGTGGTGCCCAGTGGGGTCTTCTGCTGTTGTAGCCCATCCGCCTCAAGGTTGTGTGTGTTGTGGCTTCACAAATGCTTCGCTGCATACCTCGGTTGTAACGAGTGGTTATTTCAGTCAAAGTTGCTCTTCTATCAGCTTGAATCAGTCGGCCCATTCTCCTCTGACCTCTAGCATCAACAAGGCATTTTCGCCCACAGGACTGCCTCATACTGGATGTTTTTCCCTTTTCACGCCATTCTTTGTAAACCCTAGAAATGGTTGTGTGTGAAAATCCCAGTAACTGAGCAGATTTCACCCTTTCAAACCCGCCCATAGGGGTTGGGCCTAATGCGCCAACAGACCTATCACAAATCAGTACGTTTGATTTCACCGGCAGAAACTTTTTGAAAATAACACACCATTTCAAAACAAAAATGAGGAGTAATTCAAGTAACTCTTCACTAGAAATTGTGTGAAATGATTTCCAGGTGGTAGCGTAGAGTGGAGCTCAACACTGGTCTATGGGGATTGTTGTCTACAATCCACAAGCACTAAAAAGTCATGTTCTGCCTTTTATCGCCCAAGAAGGACCCAAATTAGAAACTGATGCTACTATTTATATATGACCCATGTTCAATACATATTCATGTCTCCACCGATGCAATTACCCTTAAAAAAAAATTTCTGTAGCTTTTTTGAATGAAATGATTTCTCTGTGTCTAGACATTTACATATGACATCAATTACTGTTACAAACGGGTTTCTTTGATGCACAGAATTACAAGTCTTTTATAATATTGATTGGCCAATCAGATCATGCAGAGAACAGGTGTAATATTGGCAACATAAACAAAGAGATGGCCTTTCAAGCGGCAGCATGGAATGGATTAATCATTTTTAAACTAAGTACCTCACAATCAACACTTTGGAAGATCAAAACGCCAATGCCAGAGACCCACGCTGTCAGCTCACATTGCATAAAACATCTATATGTTCAATCCACCCTGTGGTGCAGATGAAATCTTAACTCAAAATAAAGTTAGCAATTTTGTATCAAACTGCTGCAATACAAAATATAGAGTGTTTCACAAAAAATCTTAACATTTGAACATTCACAAAATAAAGTGCGAGGCCTGGTTGAGTTGTTAGTGTGTCGAAACTCGTGGTTATGGTAAGGGTCGGGGACTTGATAATTCTGAAACATGCACAAAGAGGTTGACCAATCACAACACCGATCCTTTCGGAAGGAGGGGCTTCACTGACATACAACAATGTACAATATGGGGAAAATAATGTTGTTGTTTTTTACATTCAAGCATGAAAACTATTCTAATAGACCCCAAAAACAAAATCAAGACTTTGTGAAAGGGCATAATATGGCCTATTTGAGCACCACTATAAAAAATGACTATAAATGAAAGTGCTTTTGGTTGCATGCAACAAATGTAGTAGTATCCTATATGATAAGGGATGTGAATAGGATATGTAGATCAGTTTCATCTCTGTTACTGTATATGGATAAAATGCACATAAACTGAACCCCAGTGATCCGAGTGATCTCTTGCATTATAGTGAAAGTAGAACTTTTTACTAAAAACGAATAACTATGTCATGAAAATAGTAAAGATTAAGGCTTTACACTACCCCAAAATGACCACAGATCATTTAAAACCATATGGCTTGTGATTTGAGCTCTGTGAAAAGCATCAAAGCAGCTTTAAAGCTCAGGCTTATCCCGAATAATATGGTTGATCCTTTACGTATGGTCCAAGGAGATTCATAATTCCCCATTACATCTCCCTGAATGATAGACAGAGCATGATCACAAGCCTCTTTTCTCATGTCAGTATCATAGATGAGAGCATATGACGTGATTTGATATTACTGAAATCTAAGTTTAGTAGCAGAGAAGTTTTCAGTTGTTCTGATTTATAAATATGCATGCAGGTAAAGCATCAGTAATACTATTTCATGCTTTTTAATGAGTTTGTGCATAATAACTAAACAGAGCCATGCTTTCAGACATGCATTACAAATAATAAATTTGATTCCTGACGCAGAAAAGAGAATATGTTTTCTTTTAATGAACGCATCTTCCACAGCTCGGTTTTGTCTCTAATCTGATGGGTTGAGTTTGGAGAAACCGCGGACATGTTTGTGAGCTGCTGTCAGCTCTCATACAAGATCAAAATAATTCAGGGAGTAACTCAGTCGTCATGTCATTTTGTTTATCATTTATAACACTTTCTCAAAGTTTCATTTAAAACTGACATGTTTTTTTTTGTAACATGCCTCATATGTGCATTACAAATGACATGATTAAATAATTCATCTTTTTTTTTTCTTCAAGTTTAATCTTGGTCTTATTTTTATCATCAGATGAATGTAATGTAGGTCAAGTATATTAAATCCTGAGTTTTTGGAAAGACTGCTATTCGCTTTTATTAATATTTTTTTAATTCATAGAGGATACGAACTGTAAAATCTCTTGACATTAAATCTTTAATCCAATATACTTCAACCAATACAAATGTATTGTCAAATAAAGCAAATTATGTATTTGAAATTGATAGTATTTGTAACATAAAGAGAATAATAACATTTTTTAACAATAACCTTGTCATTGGAGTAAAAAAATACAAAAAAGAATAAATGAACAATCTCCATTTTCTGAATAGATTACCAGGGCATCATAAAATTAAAATTAAAATTAACATAAAAAAATACAATTCTGAACAAACAATATGTGCAGGAGCAAAATATACAAGTATTTGTATGTAGTAATACTTTAATATAGTATAATTTTCATTACATTTCATTAAGTTTGAACATATACTTATTCTTTATAAATTAATTAATTATTTTTTATTATTTATAATGAATTAATTTATTTTATAGTGAAGCTTTTCCTTCACTACAATGAATAAATAAATATTTTCTCTCTCTCACACACACAAGCAAGCTTTGTGTTTTCAAAGGAGGTCATAAATAAAGATCATAAATATTATATATATATATATATATATATATATATATATATATATATAAGAGCGTCATTGAAACTCAAGCAGTGAGAAAAGTCCTCTATCACATGCTTTTAGTAAACTCTAGATCTGTAAACAATCCTTATACCTTTCCAGCTCTGTAAAGCAGGAGGTCAAAGCAGGGTCTGAACAAGAGCTGAGGTAATCAGGGGTGCTGGAGGGGCGCTGGGATCATTTCCGGAAAGGTCAGAACCTTATTGTGGAGTTGAGCTCACCCCATGACCACAGACAAGAAGGTGAGGAGCAGTTTTGTTGCCAATCTGAATGAAGTACTGTTAGCTAAGCA